TAAAATTTTTGAAGTTTGAATTTGAGGAATATTTCGGTTACAATAGTATTAATTTTTAAGTTTTAAATCGAGCACATTTTTCGTGACTCTCTAGATTTGACCTAATTTCTTTTAGATTGGATTTAGGAGATTATATTTAATTGTATTAGAGCCCAGTTTAACCCTCAGACTGTGGAGCATGATCACAAAATTTTTAATCAAAAATGATTTTTAGATACATATTAATATTTTCGGGTAAAATCAAGATTTATGAAATAAAGTTATTTTTCTTTTCTTTCCTTTCTCCTACTTTTAAAGAGTAAGAGTTCAGATAGTGTAAGGTGTTTAGGTGCACATTCATTGCGGTTATGTAAATCAGTTTGGGAAGAGATCGAGGGATTATGTGGATTCTTAGGGTTATTCTATAATGAAATCAGTGACATCTATTGCTTCAATTGGGAGTGTTGGTGGTTCAAATGGTACTCCTAGGTCACTTTTATGCCCTTACTATAAGAAATGACATTCCAGAGAGTGTTGGAGGAAGACTGAGGGATCTTTTCATTGTGGGTCTCTAGAGCACCATTTCAACGAGTGTCCTCTTTCACCTAATGGTTCTTATGCTCCTACTCAGTCTCAGGCTTCAGTTCAAGCATCTACTCGAGTTAGGAATCAAGCTAGATAGACTAATTCTGGTTCGACTAGTAAAATTAGATCGGTTCAGAGTAGAGGTTCTAATAGATTTGTAGTAAGATAACTTGAGTTAGTATATGCTACTCGAAGGTATGAGGATCGAAATAAGCCAGACAATATTGAAGGAATTTTCTTAAGTCATTTTATTTCTATTTGTTAAATTTTAAGGATGAAATTTTCGTTAAAGAGTGGATAATTTCTAACACCCCAATTTTCCCCCAATCTTGAAACCCTAGAAATTGGGAAATTTTAACCTGAACTCCTAATTTGAAATTAGTGACTAAATTGCAAAATTGGACAATATGAGCCATTTTCGCAAAGCACTAGAAAGTTCAATGGCTTACCTTGCAATTATACCAATTTTTATTCGATATCAAACTCTCCCCTCCCTATTTATAACTCTGCACAGCTCTCCCCTTTTATTTAAAAAACCTAGCAGCAACCCATCTCCCTTTAAGACGTCACCGCTCACTTCCTCGCCACAAAAGAAATCAGGATGGAGGAACTTTAGAAAATAGAAGATGTTCAAAAGTAATTAGGGTTCGAGGCAAAAGGAAGCTTGGGGATATATGACCCTATGGCAATGTTTTATTATAAAAGGTCACAAATTTATGAGTCTATTGCAACGTTTTTAGAAAAATGCCACCTTTTATCATTCTATAACGACGTTTTTACCAACAACGCCATAAAAAGTAAATGTTTATTGCGGCGCTCTACCGAAAACACCATTAAATACTTAACTTGTACTGTTTTGTGGCGTTTTACTAATAAATGCCGCCTTATATTCGTCAATAGCGGCATTTTCCCTAGAAACGCCACGAAAGGTACATAACTGTCACGGGACTAACCTGTAAATGCCGCTAATTTTTTATTTTGTGGCGTTTTAATAATAAACGCCATGTTATGTTCAAACTTTGTGGCGTTTGCTTTCAAAACTCCGCTAAATATGCCGTGATACCCCCCATTTTGCCGTAGTAGAGGAACCATTTTTGTATTTTTGTCTCAGCATCCGAACCAATAAGACGTCTTTCTTAGTGACAATAGAGAATCCTAATTTCAAATCAAAGGCAACATTGAAATCGTACACTCGACGAATCCCAAGACCCCTGTTTTCAATCGGTTGGCAAAGGGCTTCTCAGTTGATAAGGGAGACTTTAGAAGAGGCAGCAAAAGAACCCCAAATAAATTGCCTAACAATCGTTCAATTTTATTACAAGCACTACGGGGTAAGATTCAGGTCTGCATAAAATAGACCAGAATAGCAACAAGAAAGAGATCTAGCAGCCCCTCCAAAAAGACGGTTTCGCATTTTGTCAAGAAAGAATTTATAGTCGGAGCATTTGAGTTTGACCATGAAAAATCGGAACCCCCAAATATTTTCCAAGAGTACTCACAATTTGAAATCCAAAAAAGGCGCCAATAGCGTGCTTAAAAAGGTCATTAGTATTCAGCGAAAAATAAATATGAGTTTTTCGTTTATTAACCCAGTGACCAGAGAAGTTGCCAAGCACTTGAAGTCCTAAATACATTTAGCTTGTTGCATATTGACTTTGGCAAACAGAATCAGATCTTCGGTAAAGAAAAGATACGATAAAGGAGAGTCACTTCTAATGGGTGTAAGTTTTTTTCAAATGACCACCTCCGATCGAGACTATGACTATAATCACATTTATTACCATAATCATGATAAGTTTTTTATTATTAATTCATTAGCTTTTCGGCCACAAAAAATAGGATATTGATTAATGATATTTTTTAAAATTATTTTCATGATATTGTATTTACATACATTATTATTAGTACGAAAAGTGAAGTATAAAATTTAATTCAAGAAAAAATATTAATAATTTGACCAAAAAGATAGCAATAATTAAATTAATCATTACTTGGCAGTACAACACAAGAATCAATTTTGGGACACACTTTGCAATTGCTATTGCTACGAACATGGTCGTGCTTAGGGATGGGCACTGGTGCGGTAGGACGGACCGGTTCCTTTTGCCACCTAACTTTGACTCGAAAATATATTTTCTAAATTTGATTGTCTCGTTCAAATAAATTTTAGATTTTTCGTTTTAATTTCATTTCGAATTTTAGATTAAAATTATGATATAATTCAAATATATTAATATTTTAAAATAATTAAAATAATATGTTTTATACTAATATATTTATAATTATTTATTATATTTTAAATTATTAAAATAAAATATTTTATATTTTTAATAATTAAAAATATATTTTAATAATATAAAAATCACTATATTTTTAAATAATAATAATAATAATTTATACCAAATCAAGACGAGTCGAATTTTTTCATCTTAAATCCACTCCTACCCCGCTCCAATTTCTGAAATTAAAAATAAAAACTATCCTTATAAAGTCAAGTCAGAAGCCGTTAGATTCAGGCAAATTCCACGTGATAATGTTCTCAAAATAATTAATTAACGAGATAATGATATGGCCGGATTAATTGCTGATATAAGGTGAATTAACGTAGGTCGCGAGCGACGTAAAAGGTCGCCAAGGCATCCCTGCGAGCTGGTGGGCAGCAACCTCTTGGTCGCCATGCAAGCCCCGCAACCAAGCAGGTCGCCATGAAGGTCGCCATGCGTTCTTCACGCCAGAAGCTGTTGGCATGCGTGTGCTGGCCCCTCCACTTCACTCACCAAAAAGGGCAGCTTGTTGTTTACTTCCCTGCGTGCTGGCCCCTCACTTTTTCACTTTGTCTCAATCCCATGCATGCATCCCATCCAACGTTCTATTAGGGTTCGATAAGTTTTGTTCGATTAGGGTTTTATGTTTCGGTTTTTGCCTTCTTTCCGGATTGGATTTTCCTTGAAAATAGGTAATCATGTGTATCACCCGCTATTTTTTCTAGAATGGATTCAAACATTGCTCTTTCGAGTAAACAATCACGAACGAACTACTGAGTCGAATTTCCAGGTTGTGTTTTCTCATAAGCAAACCAGAGCTTTGGTGTTTTTATTTTCATTTCTTCTTGTTCAAAGACAAATGATCAGTTTCGACGTTCTTCATCATCTCTGGCCTCGGATTTCTGTATTTTGTTCGTTCGTCTAACCACTTGATAATGTCGGCAAACACAGTTTCAATGTTTTCCGAGGGCTCGTCAAAGCGTGCCACATTTGCTGGACTTGTCTGCGGTTGAAGCTACCTTGAAAAGTTGTTTGCTAACTTGTGGGACTGACACTTCGTCTTCTTCACCATGGAATTGTAACCTAATAATTAGGTTTCACAAAGAAACGTGCCATGAACATGCTACGTCACGTAATCCATTCGGTTAGATGTAACAATTCAAATTAGGTTACAATCCATTCGGTTAGATGTACAAATCAATGGGCTGTGGATAACTTGTTTGTATAAGTTGAAGTTCAAACTTGAATTATCTTTTTTTATGTAAAATTAGGGTATCTAATAATATAAAAAAATTTAAAACATGCGTTAATGAAAAACTCGATAAGATACATGAGTTGTTTGAATTGGATATTATGGTGCTCGAATTTGATACTTTTATTAATGAATTGAATCGATTTTTTTTAATCAAACTCAAACAATTTGTGTATACTATATCTTATTTACACCTAAATGTTATTTTTTAAGGGATTATGATGGTCAAAGAATATAAGTGAATTAGGTTGAGATAGAGACAAAAGAGAGGATAGGACCATGTTCATGATCTTCAATCGACCCCAATAGACTCTTCATCCAAAGTTTAGGGATCAATTTAGAAAGATAGTCATAGTTTGAGGATGAAACTATAATATTCACAAGTTTAAGGACTAATATAGAATAAGAGTGTCATAGTTTGGGGATGAAATTAGAATGTTCAAAAGTATAAGGATCAATTTAAAGTAAAGATAATAGTTTAGGGACATGGTGCAGTTAACTCATATAAATTGAAAATGTACTACTCAAAAATTAAATTGAAAATGCAAATTGATACACATGTCCTCACATAAATAATATAATTTGTTACAACTTTTTGATAATTTTCTTCTATAATTTTCTCAATATCACCCAGTTAATTTTTGTTTGTTAAGAAACCCTAATCACCCGAAAGTTCACATATGTTTTGAGATCAAAATCTCATCATTTTAAAGCTTCAATTCCCTCTCCAACCTCGAATTTCCAAATTTGGTTCTTCGATTCAACCAGTTGATGATATTCGTAAATACAATCTCGATATTTTCCGGCATCTCACCTTACAACAATTCGTGCCACATCTCGGGATACAACTTGAAACTCTTGTCCGAGCTTGCTGCAACATCATACAATAGTTGGCTCACTGCTTTATCTGTTACTCTGTAATCTCCTCCGTGTAGTACCATAAATGGTAATGAAACCTATTCTAAATTAGCAACCAAAAATTTTAAGATTTGAATCTCCAACCCATTGAATTAACATCTTAAAGTTTTATCAAACATCTTTTTTTATTTAATTAAGAAAAAAAGGAAGTATTAATTCATCGTACATACTCAAATTATGACCAAAGTAACCCGATAATAGAAAGGCTAGATTGATACTATATCAGTAGTTTAGAGATTGAATTGCAATTAAAGATGAGTTTGGGGATGTTTTGCGAAATTAACCCGAAAAGGGTAAGAATAAACGAACCTCATGAAGTCTTTGCTCAAGCTCCAAGCTAGTGTTTAGAAGTTCATTGGCAGTGTTCAAACGAGGACGTCCTTTGTAGTAATAAGGATTTGCTCTGACCTGTAAATTAAATTAAAATTTTAAATTAATAAACTATAATTTTATATAAACATATAATAGTTTTCATTGTCACTTATTTATATATATTTAAAATAAATTATCAAACAAAAAATTAATTATTATGACATTTAAAAAACTATTTTGGTCATCAAACTTTTTTTAAAAAGATCATCACTAATATTATGCTTTTTTTTTTATTTTGATCATCCGATGTTTAAAAATTAATGATAATTATGATATAATTTTTTCTCATTTTTTAATTTCCACATTATTTTCTTTGGTGAAAAAATAAAAAAATTACTTAATGAGGATTTTTCCAAAAGGATGGTGATCAAAATAAACAATAATAATAAGTGGGTAACTAATAGGGTAGTTTACACTTGGGAAAACAAATATTTGTGCTCTTATCTCAGGCTGTTTAAAAGAAGCGTCAATGACATCTTGGACCGGAACTATTCGTCACGTAGGAATTGTGACAATGCAGCTATTAAAGCGCAAATCATGCATGCATGCATGGGATTGTGACAAAGTGACAAAGTGAGGGGGCCAGCACTCAGGGAAGTAAACAACAAGCTGCCCTTTATAGTGAGTGACGTGAGGGGGCCAGCACACACATGACAACAACTTCTGCCGTGAAGAACGCATGGTGACCTTCTCCATGGCGACCTAACCTGCTTGGTCGCGGGGCTTGCATGGCGACCAAGAGGTTAGGGATGCCTTGACGACCTCCTACGTCGACCTATGTTCTTAGTAGAATTCACCCTATATCAATAATTAATCCAACCATAGCATTATCTCGAGAATTAATTATTTTGAGAACATTATCTCGTAGAATTTACCGTTATATTCAAGTATTTTGATCATATTTAGTCAGACTTTTACCTGCTTTCACCATTCTGCCCGAAATGATTATTGATTACTATTCAATTTCCAAAGGTCTAAAACTAATGAAAATGGGCTGAGAAAAGGCACCCAAGGGCAAGGCAAAAATCTTTCTGGTTAAGCCCAATCAATCAGCTTTAGCAAGAACGAAAACCTAATTCCCCTTTCTCTCAATTGAAATAAAGTGCAATAGATTTCTATATGTATATATTATATATATTCATTATTTTTATATTTCAATGAAAGAATAATTTAAAAAGAAAAAGGATCAACGAGAGATGAATGACTTAAATTAAATAAAAATAAAATCTGATCTTTTAAGTAAAATTATCTAATTAAATCCCTGTTGATAATATTGTAAAATAAAGAAAGTAAATAAAAAATAACAACAAAATGTATGTAAAAGAGACAATTTTGTAATGTTTTTTCAATATGAAGTATGTTGAGAGATTTCTTTAATCTTTATATAAGTAGAAAATACAATGTGAATATGATTTTAATACTAATAAATATTAAAGATCAACTAATAAAGTACACCAAAATTTTATTTTATACATAAAACTATACTCATAATAGATATTTACATAAATAAATATCTATAATGTTATGCTATTATTAAATTGTGATTTTATACAAATATGCCTACTTCTGACTCTTTTATTTTTGTTACTTAGATGGTGGAGTTGTCCGTCTATACTAATGAGATCCTTTCACATAATATTGATCGTTAAATTTCATATAATTAGATCTTGTATGCATTATATTATATTTTAAAATGTGGGTTTATCACATTAGCTGTCATTAGTTCAGTGACTAAGAGTGTGACTTACCCTAAAAGAATTATAGAAGTTTTCTTGGCTGTTGGAATGTGGAGAGAAGAAAATTTGAAAAGTGGCCAAATTTGGATTCCCCAAGATCACAAGAACAAAGCTGATATGAAACATGCAGTGTTTGTTTGTCCTTGTCATGTCTTGATATGCATCACATGGAATTAGAGATGGGTATGAGATTTGAATCTGTATGGTTTTGATTTGATCGAGTTAGATTTTTTTTTAAAAAAAATCGGGTTCAGATCGAGTCGGGTTTTTTAAAGTTATGTTCAAGTCGGGTCGGGTTCAAGTTTAGGGTGAAAAATACCCAACCCGACCTGAAAAAATTATAATTTAACCTTATATATTTGAGAATAATTACAATAATACCCTCTATATATTATTTTCTTTCAATTAAATTCTTATTTTTATTGAATAAAAAATAATATTTTTTAATAAATATATTATTTCAGGTTGGATCGGGTTTAGATTTTATCTAAAAATTAGATTAGATTCGAGGCGGATGAAAGAGTTATAGTTTTTGGGTCGATAAAGAATTTAAAATTTTCGGGTTGAATCGGATGAACCGAAAATTTGACCCGAATCATGCCCATCCCTATATGGAACATAAGAACTTCTACATTGTGACCAACAGGTTTTTGGCTGTTCCTTGCTTTTCTTTCCCCTCCTTCCTCTTCTTTTCTATTTATTAACCTTTGTTAATTTAACTCAAAATAGAATAAGATTTAAGCCTTAAAATTACATGCAAAATCACTTCCCAAACTTAGTCTTAATTTATAAAAACCATTATTAGGAATGGTCAATGAACCAAATTATTATATTAATTTATAAGATTTAATATATTTATACATTATGCTTATATTGAACACTGAATTTATTTTATCAACCAAAATTATATATACTTAATAAAAAATATTAACACCATGATTAATTACCTTTAATTGTTTATTTTTATAATTAATAATGATTAAAATATTTTAATTTTTGAAGGGTCAATTTATATAATTTTATATTTAAGAGAGATGTAATAAGTCTGTTTAGTTTAGAGGGTAAGTACACAAATGATCCTTCAACTACAAGACACTATTTTATTGAGTCTCTCGACTATAAAATGTTACAAAATGGTCCTCTAACTATAAGATGTTGCTTTGTTGATTCCTTTTATCATTAGAAGTTACAAAATGATCACTCAATTATTCATTATGTTCCAAACTTGTCATTTTCTATTAAAAAATTAATGACAGTCTAAGTTGGATGTTTGTTTGTTGTCTAAGATATTATAGTTGTTTGAGATTTCATGATTATATTTTATTATATATTAGACAATAAATTAACATTCAACTCAGATTGTCGATATTTTTTAACGAAAAAAGGCAAATTTAAAACATAATGAATAATCGATGATCATTTTGTAACTTTTATTAGTCGATGACTCGACAAAGGAACATACTATAAGTGGGAATCATTTTGTAACTTTTTATATTGGGGGACTCAATAAAGCAATTCCCTGTAATGGAGCAACCATTGATATACTTTATCCTAGTTTTTATATAATAAAATTTAGGTTGTTGAGAAAGTTATTGAAAACAGCCTTACAAGTCTAATAATAATATGAAAATAAATAATTAAAAAAAGAAGAAATAGTTGGAGAATTGCCTTCCTATTTAAAAGCTTCTCCTTTCTTTAAACTACAAATTTAGTCTCAACCAAAAAAGTTCCACCTTCAAATGGCGAATAATTAACCATTCGATTTCCAGTTTCCAACCACGACCACCGTAATGGCATTCACCTCCGTCGCCCCCGTCAGCAAGAACGACTCCAACGGTGGCCAAGGTCTCATCTTAGGACGCTACGAGGTCGGAAGACTCCTCGGCCATGGCGCATTCGCTAAAGTTTACCAAGCCTGCAACGTTAAAACAAGCCAAAGCGTCGCCATCAAAGTGCTCGACAAGGAGAAGATCCTCAAAGGCGGCATGATTGCTCACATCAAGCGCGAAATCGCCATCCTCCGACGTGTCCGCCACCCTAACATCGTGCAACTCTTTGAAGTAATGGCCACCAAAACCAAGATTTACTTCGTCATGGAATACGTACGTGGCGGTGAGCTTTTCAACAAAGTTTCCAAAGGCCGGTTAAAAGAATCCGTCGCCAGAAAATACTTCCAGCAATTAATCTCCGCCGTCAATTTTTGCCACGCCCGCGGCGTTTACCACCGCGACTTGAAGCCCGAGAATCTCCTCCTCGACGATAACGGAGATTTGAAAGTCTCCGATTTCGGGTTGAGCGCCGTATCGGATCAGATCCGACCCGATGGTTTGTTCCACACGTTTTGCGGTACCCCAGCTTACGTGGCGCCGGAAGTTTTAGGCCGGAAAGGATACGATGCGGTCAAAGTCGATATCTGGTCCTGTGGAGTAATTCTATTTGTTTTGATGGCGGGTTATTTACCATTCAACGATCAAAACGTCATGGCCATGTATAAGAAAATTTACAGAGGTGAGTTCAGGTGTCCGAGATGGTTTTCATCTGAGTTAGTCCGGCTACTCATGAAGCTACTCGATACTAACCCGGAAACCCGTATAACAATCCCAGAAATCATGGAGAATCGTTGGTTTAGAAAGGGTTTCAAACACATCAAATTCTACATTGAAGATGATAAATTTTGCAGCGTTGAAGAAACCGACGAAGACATCGGAGCATATTCAACGGATCAGTCATCGATGTCCGAGTCCGAAACCGAGGTCGAAACCAGGCCGAGAGTCGGTCCATTGCCGAGGCCGGCGAGTTTAAACGCATTTGATATCATTTCATTCTCCCCGGGTTTCAATTTATCCGGGTTGTTCGAGGAAGGAGGTGAAGGTTCTAGGTTCGTGACCGAGGTGAAGGTATCGAAGATTATATCGAAACTGGAAGAGATAGCGAAGGTGGTTTGTTTTACGGTGAGGAAGAAGGATTGTAGATTGAGTTTGGAGGGTTCAAGGGAAGGTGTTAAAGGGCCATTGACGATCGCGGCTGAGATATTCGAGCTAACGCCATCATTGGTTGTCGTGGAAATAAAGAAGAAAGGAGGCGATCGAGGCGAGTTCGAGGAGTTTTACACCAGGGAACTAAAACCAGCGTTAGAGAATTTGATGGCGGAGGAAGCACTATCAGCTTCAACCGCCGCCGCCGCTACGGGTGGTTCAAGTTTACCTCCGGATTCGAAATAGAGATAAGGGTAAACTTTTGTCTCTGTTTGTATCATAAAAAAAGGTCAGTATTCTTTTTGTTTTGTTTAGATAACTGGATGTATGTGTATGATCTATTCTTGCATGGAGAAGGATAGATTCCATTACCACAATTTGAATACAAATCTCTATTGATCTTTGGCTTTTTGATTTCTGGGTTTCTTGTATATTCCTCCATCTTTATTCATAAATGAATTAATTAAATTTAAAATTTTGACTGTCCAATATTATTGTAAAAACTTAGATAAATCGGATTTGTAAGCCCAAAGTTGAATTGTTAGATTCTCATGCACAAGAATTTGACATAAAAAGTCCGTATATGTAGTCTTATAATTTTTGAAAGAATCGAATAAAATTAAGGGTTAATTACAAAACTGGTCCCTAACTATAAGGTATTATTTTATTAAGTCATTTAACTATTAAAAGTTACAAAATGATTCTTCGACTATAGAGTGTTGCTTTGTTGAGTACCTCGACTATTAAAATTTATAAAATGGTCACCGATTATTTATTATGTTTTAAACTCGTCTTTTTCTATTAAAAAATTGATATTATTCTCAACTAAACGTTAACCTACTGACTGTCATATGATTCGTTGTTGTGCGTGTCTCAAGTTATCCCATATCTTGATTCGTTGATTCGGTGCAATATTTCTAACAATATTAAGGTGTTATGGCAGAGGTTGTTATTGTTGTGATGTTGTCCATGTCCTATTTCATGCAACTCTTGTTATTGTCGTTGTAACACTCTAAAACTCCATCTTTACATACAACGAAAGAGATTTCCTACTTTACGACTTGAAAAATGACTTAAAATTTTTAAAACAAATCGTACAAGATATTAGAATATAAAAAATACAAATGTAAATCTCTTTTATTCGAAAACCAATTCATAAATAAAATAGGTACAAAATTACTCAATAAAATCATAACTTTTACAAGTTTATATGTCTAATCAATGTTGGGAAATAAACAGAGTACGAGTAATTTCCTTATAACCAGATTAGTGAAAATGCAAAATAAAAGCGGAAAAATAATACCTGAAATTGATAATGGAGTTCAGCCAATTTTACTTACGTCTCCGGACTGCTGCAGATCTTTTACTTAGAGATAAAATTTACAGGTATTTACAAAACACTCACTACTCACAAGAAAGCTCTCTAGTATTAGGAGAAAGAAAATGATTTTTGGATGGTTTTGAAGCTAAATGAGCTAGGGTATTTATAGTTGAAGTTTAAGGACTTAATCTTGTAAATACCCTAAAGTCTAGGGATTAATTATGATTATCCCATTATCATTTTTCAACAAACATCTACCAAACTTTGAAAAACTATTTTTCAAAGAAACATTTACCAAACTTTGAAAACCATTTTCAAAAAAAACATTTACTAAACTTTGAAAATCATTTTTTCAAAGTTGGTTGTCAAACTTTGAACTTAACAATACTTTCAACAATCTCCCACTTGAAGACTGATTTTAATCTGTCTTCATACCTCGATCAATGCAACATCATTTCTGGTCCTGTTATTCTAGCATGCCAACTGAAGTTGAACACAACTTCAATTTGTCAGTGGTCACCGTCTTTGTCAACATGTCTGCCGGATTTTGAACTCCACTAATCTTTTCAAGCTTCAAAATCCCATCTTCCAGAAGAGATCGAATAAAATGATATCTCAATTGTATGTGCTTTGTCATGGAATGAAAAGACAGATTCTTTGCTAGATGAATAGTACTTTGACAGTCGCAATACAAGACATTGGTTTCTTGTTTCTTGCCTAACTCTTCCAAGAAACTTTTGAGCCAAACCATCTCTTTGTTGGCTTCCGTAACAGCGACATATTCTACTTCAATTGTGGAGAGAGAAACTATCTTCTGTAGTTGAGAAACTCAACTCACTGCAGTACCTTCTGATGTCAACATTTCTAGCTAAGTCAGCATCTACAAAGCCTGTCAGTATTGTATCTCCACCTTTGAAACAAAGTGCTTTGTTTGTAGTACCCCGCAGATATCTAAGGATCCATTTGACAGCTTCCTATTGTACTTTTCCCGGATTATTCATGTACTTGTTAACAGCTCCCACTGCTTGAGCAATATATGGTCTGGTACAAACCATGACATACATCAGACTTCCAATTGCTGAGGCATATGGCACCTTCACCATTTGTGCACGTTCTTCCTCCGTCTTTGGTGATTGTTCTTTGGAGAGTCTAAAATGAACACCTAAAGTTGTACTTACTGGTTTAGCATCTTGCATGTTGAACCTGAAGAGTACTTTGTTGATGTACTCATCCTGTGATAACATCAAAGTCCCCGACTTTGCGTCTCTCTTGATCCTCATCCCAAGAATCTGCTTTGCAGCACCCATATCTTTCATAGCAAACTGCTTCGATAATTTTTGCTTCAAGTTTATAATCTCTTGCATGTGTGAGCCTACAACGAGCATGTCATCAACATACAACAATAAAATAATGAAGTTGTTATCGAACCTCTTGATGTAGCAACAACGATCTGCTTGGCATCTGGTAAAACCACTGCTACTCATGAAGTTATCGAACTTCTTGTACCACTGTCTAGGAGCTTGTTTTAAACCATACAAGCTATTCTTCAACCTACATACCAGGTTTTTCTTGCCTGCCTCTATGAAGCCTTCTGGCTGCCTCATATAGATTTCTTCCTCCAAATCACCATGAAGGAAAGTTGTCTTTACATCTAACAGCTCAAGATGTAAATTCTCTGCAGCTACAATTTTCAACACCAGTCTGATTGTAGACAATTTTACGACTGAAGAGAAAATTTCATTGTAGTCAATACCTTCTTTTTGCTGAAAGCCTTTGACAACCAATCTTGCTTTGTAGCGTTTACTCCCATCGTGCTCTTCTTTGATCCTGTAAATCCACTTGTTATTCAGCGTTTTCTTGCCTGGTGGCAATTCAGCTAATTCCCACGTCTGATTTGACATAAACGAGTCCATCTCATCTTTCATGGAAGACTCCCACTTGACTAAATCCTCTACCTGCATTGCTTCATCATAACACTCTAGTTCACCATTGTCAGTCAGCAAAAAGTAGTGCAAAGAAGGCGAATAACGCTGGGTTGGTTTAGGAATTCTGGAGGAGCGTCTTAGTTCTGGTGTGCCTGGTTATTCTTGAACTGCTTCAGGACTGATCTGAACATCATTTCCAGAAATCTCCTCGAACTCAGCAAATTTCTTTGTTTCAGCTTCGATATTTGAGCTACTTGATTCTATGGTTGACCTGTCTTTGTATATCACATTCTCATTGAAAATGACATCTCTACTTCTGATGATCTTCCGATTTTCGTAGTCCCAAAATCGGTAACCGAACTCATCACCACCATAACCAACAAAGGCACATTTGTTGGACTTAGCATCAAGTATACTTCTTTCAGCAGAGTCTATGTGTACATAAGAAATACAACCAAACACTCTTAAGTATGAAAGGTTTATTTCTTTCTTGCTCCAAACATCCTCTGGTATTCCACCATCCAAGGGAACTGAGGGCCCACAGTTGATTAGGTAAGCTGCAGTGTTGATAGCTTAAGCCCATAGAAATTTGGGTAATCCGACATGTATCCTCATGCTTCTGGCACATTCATTCAGAGTTCTATTCATGCGCTCTGCTACACCATTCTGTTGCGGTGTCATGGGAACTGTTGTCTCCATCTTGATCTCATTATTTGCGCAGAAATCTCTAAATCTTCTATTTTTATACTCTCCTCCATTGTCAGACCTCAACCGCTTAACTTTCAAAGCAGTCTCATTTTCCACCATGGCCTTCCATTTTCTGAAGGTATCAAAGACTTCTGATTTCTTCTTCAGAAAATAAACCCACACATTCCTTGTAGAATCATCGATGAAGGTGACATAATATAATGAGTCTGCAAGAGATGGAACTGGAGATGGTCTCATACATCAGTATGAACCAACTCTAACTTTTGTGCCTTGGGTGTCTTGCCAATCTTTGCAAAACTGACTTTCTTTTGTTTTCCAAAGATGCAATCCTCGCATAGTCCGACATCTACACTCTTTAGATCCGACAACTTCCCTTTTGACAAAAGTATCTTCATCCCTTTCTCGCTCATATGACCAAGCCTTTGGTGTCATAGGTTTGCTTTTCCATCAGCATATGCTACTGCAATGATATTCTCTAAATTTGAGGTTACATAGAGAGTACCAGTCTTCTTACCACGAGCAATGACGAGTGATCCTTTGGTAATCTTCCATTCACAACCTGAAAAAGTTGTGTTATATCATTCTCCATCAAGCTATCATACAGAAATCAAATTTCTTTTGAGGTCAGGAATATGTCTTACTCCTTTTAGCGTCCAGGTGGTCTGGTTTGACAACTTTAATCGGATGTCTCATTTTCTGACGATCTTCAAGGTTTCATCATCAGCTAGATGAACCTTCCCAAAATCACCACTGACATAGTTCTCTATGATTTCTCGGCAAGGGGTGGAGTGGAAAGATGCTCATAAATCCAAGATCCATGATTCAATCGGACTGTTGACGCTTAGAATCATGGCATCACCTGTATAATCTGTCACGTTGGCAGATTCCTATGCGCCGATATTTTTCTTCGGTGCTCGATAATCTTTTTTAAAAATCTTTATTTCCTGTTCTTGATTTTCCCATTTTGGATTTGGATCTGTCACGATTTGAATTTCTTTCTGAAGTTCTCCCTCTAGACTCCGTATTCAAGGCTGAGGAGGTTGATGCTTCACCCGATTCTCTCCGTCGAATTTCTTCGCTTAGTATCAGATCCTGAACATCGTCGAATTTTAATTTACTATTTCCCAACGAGCTGCTAACTGGTGTAACAGTAGCATTCCAACTATCTGGTAGAAATGATAAGAGAATTAAAGTTCGAACTTCATCATCGAATTCAATTTCCACGGAACTCAACTGGGTTGTGATTGTGTTGAGTTCATTTAGGTGTTGAACCACTGATGCCCCCTCCGCCATCCGCAAATTGAACAATCGCCTCATCAAATGAACTTTGTTTGAGGTCGATGACTTCTCATACATACTGGAGAGAGCTGCCATAAGACCCGCAGTGGTCTTTTCCTTTGCTATGTTGAAAGCAATATTGCGGGATAACGTCAGTCGAATAACTCCGAGGGCTTGTCTGTCGAGAAGAACCCAATCTTCATTCTTCATGCCCTCTGGTTGCTTTCCTGAGAGAGGTTGATATAGATTTTTTTGGTACAAAAAATCTTCAATCTGCATCTTCCAAAAGCCAAAGTCTACACCATCAAACTTTTCAATTTTCACATTCCCTTCTTCTGCAACTAGCGCTCCCACTCGAATCTGGCTTCTTTGGATTGTTCTGACAATTTTCGCGAACTGTCGTGTATTGGAACACCTCCGTCGACAAATTCGCATCGCCGACAAAATTTCACTATTCACAAAATTCATTATTCACGTAAATAGTAATGAATAGTAACCTCTCAAAAATTGAAAAAATTCACAACCAAAAGCTCTGATTACCAGTTGTTGGGAAATAAACAGCGTACGAGTAATTTCCCTATAACCAGATTAGTGAGAATGCAAAATAAAAGCGGAAAAATAATACCCGAAATTGATAACGGAGTTCAGCCAATTTTACTTACCTCTCCGGACTGCTGCAGATCTTTTACTAAAGAGAAAATTTACAGGTGTTTACAAAACACTCACTACTCACAAGAAAACTCTCTAGTATTGGGAGAAAGAAAATGATTTTGGGATGATTTTGAAGCTAAATGAGCTAGGTTATTTATAGTTGAAGCTTAAGGACTTAATCTTGTAAATACCCTAAAGTCTAAGGATTAATTATGATTATCCCATTATCATTTTTCAACAAACATCTACCAAACTTTGAAAAACTATTTTTTAAAGAAACATTTACCAAACTTTGAAAACCATTTTCAAAAAAACATTTACCAAACTTTGAAAATCATTTTTTCAAAGTTGGTTACCAAACTTTAAAATTAACAATACTTTCAACAATCAAATCTTCATAAATGTACTTTAATACTCTAACAAGACTTCTCTAGTAATATTGTTGTGAAACATGAAACTTGTGAAAAGAAAAATTCAAATGGTGAGCTAATAAAGCGTAGTCACACACATTTACTATACTTATTTTATAAATTTCATAAAAATAAGCATGTTAGCATATTATGTATAACAAATAAGTACTATAAAATAGATAAATTAACATTGATAAAGTACAAAATAAAAAAAAAATAAGTAGAAGATGTTGCTGCGTCGTAATAATCGATTACTTTAGAACTGAATTCATCTTGTCTGGTGTAATAAAAAAATGTAGTCACCTGATTTCGTCTAGGATTTTATTTCAAGTTTTAATCATTTTATAATATTATAATATAGTATATTAATATATATATTTGAAAAAATATATAATTTTTGAATATATATATATATAACTTTTAAAAAATGTATAGTATATATGTTATATGTTATTATTGTTATTATTAATATTATTGTTGTTTTAATTTGTAGGTTCAGTCCATGTCATGTCCAAGTTCAGGTCTGAGTTTAGGGTCCAAGTCTAAGTCACAACACAACAAAGGTCCAAGTCCAAGCCCATCCGAGCCTGTAGGTCTGACCCAGCAAGAAGGCCCGGTTAGGGTCCAAAACAGAAGCACTTATTTGCCTGATTCAGCAAAGGTGGAAGGCCGAAGATCCAAATCGGGTAACCCAGCAGACAAACATGCTTGATCTAGCAAGCCGATCTGCTAGGCCTAATGACATAAAGGCCCATGTTATTAGGAGTTAGGGTTTCTAACGTTGCGTCATCACAATCGTGGGATCAGATAATATATCAATGGCCCACGATGAGTGACAAGATAGGGTTAGGAAACCTTAGAAGGTGTATCAAGGGCGTAACCCATCCTCAACCGTTGGATCAAGTCTCGTGATCCAACGACCACAATTATACCCTGGGTACCAATAAGTCACAATTGTCCAATGACCAATGTGTGGCCTTCACACGTCAGCGAAAATAACCCCAAACGCCACGGACCAAAGAGTGTTTACAGATTCCTTTCGAACAATTTTGAAAAAGAAAAAACATGGAAATCTTTTATTTCCAAAGGCATTAACCGAACCAAAGGAAACCACAACAATCATCAACACCAAGAAAATGTCATTCAAATATAAATGAAACATATCCAAGTAACAAGGAAACATAAATCGGAATCAAAACACGAAAGGGAACAAGTCCTTCTGCCAACTCGAAAGGATAAAAAAACAATCATATTTCATGCCAATCGAATCCCAATGATTTCAGGACCGAACGAGGAAACGAATATTCCTAAATGTCCCTATATAAACCCTATAAAATCAAAAGGGAAAGGATCAGGAACCAAGCATTCAAGTACTAAAAATCGAGAAGGGAGAGAGGGAAGGAGAGACCGTCGAGACACCTAGAAGTCACCTTCATCACCGTCGGAAAGGTAAAAACCCGTGGGGTTCTTGGCGCAAATCTACGCCGTGGGGGAGGTTTTTAGGTCGTTTGGTTGGTGGATCTAGGTTTGGTTTGGATAGACGAGCGTTTTCGGGTAGTTAGTGTGCTTCGACCATCGTAAGTGGTTCAATCAGAGAGGATTGCGAATACCTCTGAACCGTTGAATAGCATTTCACAGAGGATTGCGAATCTCTGACTCACTTCCTACATTCAGTTGTAAGCGAATTTAACTGAAAATATTATATTTTTGTCACCTCTCCATCCAATTGTGTCAGACGACAGTCTGTTATCCAGAGTTTTAATTCTTGCAATTCGAAGGATAACATCCAGGGGTAGAAGGTGATCAAACTCCTGCCATCGCCAATCTCCATTAGAAGCAGCCATCGACGCCACTGACATATGTTGTATCGACGATATATACTCAGTATTCACGTGCTCAACCAGCGGTCCTATGTCAACTATCCATAGATCAAACCAAAAATCCGTATCCGTGCTCGACCCAATAGAATAAATCAACGTTGATCGAACATCGTTCCAGACTATGCTCAAACCCTTCCACAACCTCGAGCAGGTAAAATTACACAACTCTAGAGGCACTCCTTGATCGCATTTATATTTCGTTCTAATGAAGCGAACCCAAAGGGACTCCCTCTTAGTAATAATATGAAACGCTAATTTAATGAGAAAAATATTGTTAAGCTTGTCAATCTTACGGAAGCCTAATCCTCCATCCGAAATAGGTTTACACACATCTTGCCATTTAACTAAATGAATTCCTCCACGGCTAGATGTACTCCCCCAAATAAAACGGTGAATGATTCTCTCAATAGCTAGACATGTTGATTCCAAAAGAACAGCAGTTTGAAGGGTGTAAGTGGGAATCGCTGCAAGTGCACTTTTAGCCAGAACAATTCTACCAGCTAACAAAGGTGTTCTTGCTTTCCATCCGCTTAATTTCTGTTCTACACTCCGAATAAGATATTGGTACGAGGCCGTGGTGACCCAACGATGTAAAACAGGAACCCCAAGATACTTGCCAAGATCAGATACCTCCACAAAACCAAAACCATTACTAATCATCATACAAGTATCATTCGACACATTTTTTGGAAAAGTAAATCGTTGTTTTCTCAGCACTAACTTTATGTCCAGATACAAAAATAAAAATAAAAATTCCAATACCTCTTAGATAACATGAAGTTGATCAACCGAAGCTTCAGCAGAAAGGATCATATCATCCGTAAATAGTAAATGGGATATCTCACGCCCACGAGTCAATGTACGGAAAGGTTTCCATCTCCTTTACCTTGTAGCCTCCTGAATTGATTGGGAAAGAAGCTCCATACACAGAACAAAGAGATATGGGGACAACGGATATCTTTGGCGGATGCCCCACGAAGGTTTAAAGGACTCCGTTATATCCCCATTCCAAAGAATACTCGACGAAACCGTAGAAACACATTGCATTATTAAATTCCTTTAAAAACCCAGAAGGCCAATATCCACTAGAGTATCATAGATGAAACCCTACTCGAGTCTGTCATACGCTTTTTCCAGGTCGATTTTAAGGGTCATCCACCCCTTCTTCCCTGTTTTCCTGCTCATCGAGTGAATTATTTCTTACGTAATTATAATGTTGGCAATAGTAGATTTGTCAGGCACAAAACTAGACTGATTCTCCAAGACCCAAGAAGGAAGGTACGATTTTAAGCAGTTAACCACAATCTTTAAAATAATTTTGTAAACAATCGTACACAAACTGATGGGCCTAAATTGACTCATTAAATCTGGCATAGGCAACTTCGGTAAAAGAACAATCAGTGTCTGATTAATGTGTTCAGGAATAGTTCTAGATTCAAATATTCGCTTCACAAAATCACAAGTCGATGAACCCACAACACGCCAATTATTTTGGAAAAAAAACTCGCATTTAATCCATCAATACTCGTAGCTTTAGATGCCCCCATGTCAAACAAAGCCGTATGAACTTCATCATTCAACACAGGAAAGACTATTCTCTCTCGGATACTACTCAAAAGTGCTTTAAATTGGCCACAAATAAGAGAATTCATCCAAACCACGGGAGTACTTGTGAATAAGCTTTTGTAAAAGTTGGAAACCAAATCAACTAATTCCACACTGTTCGTACACCAACTACCATCTTATTTTTTTCAGTGCCGTGATGTGATTAGCCCGTCTACGAGTAATAACCGGAGTATGGAAAAACTTTCTATTACTATCTCCTTGAAGAATCCACTGCGCACACGCTTTTTGCCGCCGAAAGAACTTCTTTTAATCTATCACTAAGTCCAAATCACACTTGAGTTTATTCAACAACGAAGTCAAAGAAGCCGAATTACGTATCGCAAGACACCTGTCAATTCCTCGAATCCTTGCCTGAAGTCTTCGTTCCGTTTTTCCGATATGACCAAAGGTATCCCTATTCCAATTAGTCACATTTTCTCAAAATTAATGTTCTCCATCATAGGATAATCCGATTTCCAGGCAGACTTCAGAAAATAGGAAAAATGCGGGTGTGTTTATCATGCTTCGATAAATCTGAAAGGTCTATTATGCGGACAAACACTCTTCTCTCCGAGACTAATCAATAAGGACCGATGATCCGAACCCACTCTATCCAAATGAAGGACATGCGAATCAACAAAGAAAGTTGTCCACACTGAATTGACAACACATCTGTCTAATCTTTGGTACAAATTGTCCCTTGCCCACGTGAATGGTGGACCACGAAAGCTAAGATCCGAGAGTTCATTATCAAAGAGAAAATCAGAAAACTGTTGATTCCCACGATTATTAGAAGAAACCCCCCCACCCACTTCTCTCTTCAGCATAGAGCATGACATTCAAATCGCCTCCAATTAACCACGGGATATTTATTTCCAAGATTAACAGCTGTAAGCTGATGCCAAAGGTTCCTTCTACCAGCTTTTGAAAGGATGGCATACACCGTAGTTAGCTAAAAATTAAGCTTACCATCCTCTGAACAAACCATGACGTTGATAAATTGATTCACTATGTGTCGTATATCAATTCCTAAACTATCCTTCCAAAGCAACCAAATGCCACTGCTAAACCCATGAGCTTCAACCCGAAACAAATTTGAGTACCCTATTCTCGAAATAATCCCATCAACATGAAACCAACTGATCCGCGACTCTAACAACACAACAATCGACGACCTATGCTCTCCCACAAAGGAACAAAAATAGCCTCGGAACGCACTACTCGCTGCACCTTGACAATTCCAAAGCATTATCTTCATTGAAAAAAATAAACGGAAAAATGAACCTTATAGTTCGACCACAGTATCCTCCCCACTAGGATGTTCCGATAGGTAGTCACACTCGTCATCCGATGCATGAATCATAGGAGCTTCCCCACTAGTACCCGAGTGCTGTACCATTCGAGCCTTTTTCACTCCCAACAATTGTTGGTCCAGACTATCCGAGATTTGTCGAGCAACTTCTGCAGGTGATATATTAATATTAACCCGATTGTCGGGTTTGAGCTGGATTACATTTTTATTTTCCCCCACTGATCCTTTTCCTTGGCTCAACTCCAGCTTAGTATGTTGTCCACCAATTCCCTTACCCTTGCTAGATGACCTCGTCATTTCCTGTTCCTTGATAATAACGGCCAGGTGATTTCTCGACTTAGTAGTTGTTTTCCATTAGAATTACTCGTTCCACCTCGACACCGTTTATCCGACACGACCATCCACGGACCAAACAAGTTCGATTTTGATGTGTCATCCTTGGGCTTCGACTGCGTGTTGTTTTTAACTTGGTTTTCAACAGAATCATTCCCAATAGCAGTTTTCTTTTTCCCACACTCACGTGAACTCTTTTCATGGTCGTAAACACCACATCCAAAGCAAACTTGTTGCAAACCTTCATACTAAAGCTTTTGCAACAAGTCATCATTTCGGATACAGAATAATCGTATTGTAATCGATGCTAATAATTCTACCAATAAAAGCAGCTATGTGCCTGAAGACAGACTTCGTTTAATACCTGTACGGGAGCTCCGACAATCTTACCCAAACAATTACCTGGGACGGGTGTTTTTCCGACGTTGTAAAGCCCCTACTCCAGGGTTACACAGTCAAATAATTTTCGTATATCGTGCACGACCTTTCCGTCAAGACTCTTGTATAGTCAGTGGCGTTCGAGAATCGAACCAGGAAATAATTGTTATCGAGATCTATGAAGTGCAATTGGCCAACAAGTTTCCATAAGGCTTAAGAGCGATTGGTAATGGCCTTGTACCCTATTGTTCTTCCAAGAAGTCTCACGGTGATTGCATTCCGAAAGTTATCATCGATTTAGTCGTGGATCCTATCCAAGATCTAAACGGATGGAATAGTTATAGACCGGTCCAAAATGATATCCTCGACCTTAATCGTCACATCCTCAATAAAAAAATCAGGGACCCTATTTGCTTCGTTAGTCATATCCACAGTCGCAGCCACCTTACCGGCATAAGAGGCTTTTTCCACCATTGGTGGATTGATACTCCCATTCTCTTGGATTACGTGGCCTTGCTTGTCTCCTTCCAAGCACGTCACGTTAGCTATATTCACTTCTTCAGTGTCCATCGCATGGTCCACTCGTTTTCACCATCGGGATTAGCGTTTCTCCCTTTTTTTGGACTCCCTCATATCATCTGGCAAAACAGGAGAAGCCGAACGTTCTCTAGATGGGACCATCGGAACCGATGGTGTCGGATCCGGCTGTCGGCCTACATGGTTGTTGTTAATTTCCATACCCGGCGACTCATCTAAATTTTCGGGTGACGGGAGCATAGAGGTTAGACTTTTTTTAGGGTTGTTTTTGCTTTTTTGTTTTAACTAATTACTCTATTATTTCTTTGAATATATTAATATTTTAAAATACTATATTTTATAATAATATATTTATAATTATTTATTATATTTTAAATTATTAAAATAATATATTATATAATGATTTTTATATTTTTATAATTAAATAATATATTTTAATAATATAAAAATAAAAATCCTTAAAATATTAAATATATTTAATAAAAATAAAGAAATTTAATAATTTAAACCGAGTAGGATAAGGTCGATTTTTTTCCACCTAACCCTACCCCGCCCCAAAATTATTTATCATATAACACACCCTTAACCTCAAAATTTTAAAAAAAATTCTTATAAAATTAGGTCGGGTCGAGACCCATCAGATTTGGGCTTTTTAACGATCTCTATTAGTCATGGCTAGTAGATCTACTAGATGCATCCTCTTCCTTCCCTTTGAATACTTCCTCTCTTTTCCCCTATAGATAATCTTAGGAAACTTAACTGGGCATCTCTCTTTTGGATTAACTCAAATCAAACAATGATAAAAAAAAAAAAAAGAAGCAATGAGATCATGAATGATACCACACAAATATATCGTTTCTCTTTAATGTTTATGATTTCTTTATTTTTATTTGAAAAGAAAGTTCCAAACATCTAAAAGGAAAAGTGAACCTTTTTCCAGCTAAAAGGGAACGAAAGACTTTTTTGTCTAAATTATTTATTCCAGAAGGCGACATAAATGAGGCAGCAGCTTTTACATTATTTTAATTTAACTAAAGATTCCTTTATCAAATAAATAAATAAACCATATCGTCAAATATTCATGAGAAAATAAATTGTATCATCAAAATCCATTGGAACCTAAAAAAATAATAGCCTCCATGAAAAGCAAAAAGGAATTCCAATCTATTATTTAATTAACCTATTTTTTAATTTTATTTTAAAGTATAAAATAATAATATTTTAAAAATTAATACGAGAAACGCATTCCTGATATGAAATAAATTCTAATAATCAACCCTTCCGTCTTTCTGTGAAGTTTTCTTAATTTATTTGAAGGTTAAATACCCTTCGATATATGAATTATATCGAATTTTTTTTATTCAGTTTTATAAATTAATTTTTTAATTGTTAACAAGTTCGTCTATTTCATACGAAATCTTACGTGTACCTCTTAGATCAGTCAGAATTTGACACATGGTATTTAAACAAAATATTTACTTAATACATAATAGTA